CAGCAAACCATCTCCTGTGCTCACAGGCTGTTGCAAACATGGATACTCCAGCCTGGCACATGGGCCAGCAAGGGCAGGGTGGCCCATGTCCTGTCCCCTGTGTCACATCCCAGTGTGCCAGCCAGGAGGCACCAGGTCCCACCAGCTGATCACCCACCCCAGCTTCATTCCTCCTCAGCACCCTCACGAGAGCTGGTGCTGCCAGGCCCTTCTGTTCCCTGGGCACAGCATCCCACAGGGACATCCCCATGGCAGGGAACAGCCCTGTCTGTCACTGCCACAGGGCCACCAGGGAGAGAGACCCAGAGGCAGGGATGGAGCCCAGGGCTGCCCCGTGCCCAGGAGCTGGCTGCACACTGGGCAGTGCCTGTGCTTGGAAAGCTGCCCCTGGGGAAAGGTTTTTCCACCCTCCACTCCACTGCAGGTGTCCCTGGAGCAGGATTGGGATGTTTTTGCCATCCTCTGGGCCACCAGCCAAGGGGTGATGAGGTGGCCCTGTGGCATTTGAGAATCTCCTGCCCGAGCTGTGCACAGCCCACCCACCCACAGCTCTGCCCATGCCAGGGAATCTGGGATCTGCCTGGCAGGGCTGTGTGGCACAGAGCACCCTGAGCACCCCCATGCCAGGTGTCCCTTCCCTGCAGACTGACCTCAGGGAGACACCACAGCTGGTCCATGTGCCCAGGCAGTGCCACTGTGACAGAGGGGCTCCCAGGGATGACAGCCTCAGTGTCCTCCTGAGCTTGCCCCTTCCTTCCCTGGCCTTTGGCAATCAGGAGGCCAGAGCATCTGAGCTCTCTTCCCCACCCCCTGCAGGTGCCCTTCCCTTTCCTGCCTGCAGGAATGCCCTTCCTGCCCCTTTGGCCCCTTGGGTGCCACAGCTTGGGCCCTGTGATGGGCCCTGGGGAGATCACCATGGGTAACCCTCCCCAGAGATGCTGAAACGCTGTGCTGGGAGCTTGGGAGGGCATAAACTTCTCCTCAGGTGTCCCCTAAAGCCCTGGGGCACAGCAAGGTGCAGAATGGGACCCATGAAGCAGCCCCAGCCCCAATGGGCTCAGAGCAATTCCTCCCTCAGCCTGAGGATGGGTGGCACAGGGCTGCCAGCATCTCACTGCCACAGCTCCCAGGGCTGTGTCCCTGCTGTCCCCTTGCTGCTGGCACGTGGGGTGCATGGCACAGGGCACTGCAGCAAGAAAGAGGTGGCCATGAGTGTGACATGGTGACAGGATGACTGGCAGGCAATGAAAAGTGTCTGTGGTGCCACGAGTGGCTGAGGCACCAGGTGGGAGCAGGAGCGATGTCACCTGCCCTGCCAGGGGGAGTTGGGCCCCTGACACCCCCATGCTTGTCCTGGCAGCACCATGGAGGCTTAGCTAAGGTGACAGCCCTGTCACAGGTTGAGGGTGACACAGGGCATGGTGCTGGGGGCTGGGGCACCCGTGGGCACCGCCAGCCCCCAGAGACACCTCAGAGCTGGGCTGGCATTGCTTGGAATGGG